GTTTGTTAAACGGGCCGTACTGGATCATTGAGCATGCCTTTAACAGATTTGTAAGTACTGTTTCATGGGGAACCAGAAGCTTCGGTGCATAATTCGCAACCTCCCTTCACGATTTGTATCGTAGGGTCGACCTTCGACTTTAATCGATAACCTACCTTGTAGATTGGTATCCTACCTTCAGGTGCGCTTCTCAGATGGGTGGTGTTCATAGGTGTCCATTCCATCCCAGGTGGACCGAATTGCAACCCTTGCTTGCAGTGGGAAACAGCTATTCCTGAGGCATCTTTATGTGCAATGTTGGATTTCCATAAAGGAATACTCGAAACAGGTTATCCAATAGATGTTTCTTCCAATGATACAAGCCTGGAGCTTCTGGTACTGTTCCTAACTAAGAGCCTTCCAAATGTCACAGTTCAAGAATGAGAAAAGCAAGTTCTTCTTTGGGGGGTCGACTACCAGTCCACTGCCCTTCACAACTGCCAAGGACAGATGCCAGGCTTGGTGCCTTTGTGTCACCGGGGATTGAAGAAACTGTTTAAGGATGCTGCTGTGGAGGCATTCCTAACCCACTGTGTGCATGTACCGTTCAAGAAAGGAAAAGCCTCAAAACTGCCTAAGGGTACTGTAACACAGCCTTGGTGTAATTTCCACCATCGCAAGTTGAGAGAAATGAGACTTACCATGTGCCTGTGGCATATCTTGGTAGAGTGGGTCATTGAAAACCACCCTGTCACCAAGGATGGTTGCCTTCCACATTTCCCACCCAACCACCATGTCCTCATTGAACAGTTCATTGAAGGCAGGACTGTTCCAGAAACGCAATCGTATTTGCAACAATGCGGTACCTTCAACCACAAGCTCGCAGCGGTTAGAGAGTTGGTTGGTCTTTATGGGAATGAACACGCCCCCAACGGCAGAAAAGCCCTTTCTTCCAATGCGACTACAAAGATCGTCGATCACCGAGCAACTGGGCAGACGGGCGAGAACCGCTGGGATACTAGATCTTTCATGTTCGTTCGGGAGAAGGATGCGGAAAATGCCAGTGGATTGGTTAATAATGGGACTTCATCAATACTCATCTATGAACATCTTGGCAACCCGCAAGCCCGCCCTGTGGACGCCGGACTTTTGAGATCATTCTATGAGGACACTCATCTGATGCAAGTCAAGACGGTTCCTCGCCTCTACCTCGAATACTGTGGGGTACCAATGAAATGCTACTCCCCTGGCACGCCAACACTACTTTGCACTGATTTCAATTGCGGATTGTTGGAACGGAATAACCAAAGCATCCTTATGGATGCGCTGTCAATATTGGTGATTGACAGTGCAAGAAGAGCGAATTTCAGTCAGGTTACTCATATTCAAAGAAAAAGGAGGCCAGGTCTCTCGTCACGCAGATAATGAAATCAGGTGTGGCCATGCTGGTGGACAAGGAAGATTACTCGGATTCAGAAGTGACAAATTTCGTGAAGGATAACCATTGGCACATCAGCGTAAAGGTGGTCCAAGGAAGGATGGACCCGGATGCAACATTCACTACGTTGCCACACACAATTTGCCATCACAGCCTTTCCAAGAACGATACAACAAGAAAGGCATTCTTTGCGAAAGTACCTCTCCATCCCAGTGGTTTGTGGAGCCACTACTACATGGATGCACACGATACAAAGGGTACTGTTGCTTTCATATCATATGGAATGGCAATGATTGCACCGGCTTCTGTCACTCAAGTGGTGGACCATCGCACACATGTGGAGGGAAATCCATTCCTACTATTCACCATCGTCCCCTTGGAGAGAAACAAAGTTGATACACTCGAAAAGCTGCAAGAAATGAGCGAATTTATTGATAAGAGACTTGTTCGTAACTACCCCCACCTTCGACGTACCACCGACAAGCTTCAGAGGGAAAAGACTAATGCAGAGCGAAGATAAACCTGGGAGAACCTGAGAAGGCTTACCAGGACCTGGCTGAATCAGGGAAGCCTGAAGAAGAACCTGAGACCGATACAGACAAGATGCAGAGCGAAGATGAACCTGGAAAGGGTGCACGAGAACCTGAGTAGGCTGAGTCATATTGTGTTCAGATGTTCTGGACCAGTTTTTGAGCTGATTCCGACGTCCCACCGGTATCGTGCCAAGGCATATGGTGTTTTGTCACTTGCCAGCTTCCTGATGCTTCCTGAAAAGGCTTCTGCGGTATCACGACCCAACCACCATGGCCCCGTACACACACCTTTGCGCACGACAATGAATCCATTACGAACAAAGGCAAGACTTGCTTGGATTACATTGGCTGGTACCCAAACGATTCTCTGGCATCTGACTGGGATGTTCTCCAACAGATTGAGCAGATATTCAGGGATGCAGTGACGGTCCCAACCATGGAACATATCAAATCTCACCAGGACAAGTCCCGCGCCAAATGTTGAAACGCTGCCACTGAAGGCCCAGCTCAACTGTCGGGCTTACAAGCTTGCTGGCAGTTTCATGAAGAGGCACTTGGCTGTGGATCACGCCAGGGTTCTTCGGTTCCCTGTCAACCTTGCACAGCTGCACCTGCCCAAGGGCACATGCACTTACAAATCACCCAGAACATTGCGGAACCTGCGCAACAATCGACCACTGTTGGATCACATAATCAAGCAGAATCGGGACTGGGACGTGGATACGCCAGATTTGATTGATTGGGTGCCACACGGCAGGGCAGTCAACCGGCACGAGGCCCACAAGCCGACCATCGTGAAGTTTCTGTTCCAGCTTCTGTCGGTGGGAAAGCTGGTGCACAGGGGCGACCCCAATTATGATCACAAGTGCCCCATGTGTGGCTGTGACAATGAATCGGAGGATCATGTATACAGGTGCCCGCATGTTGACGTGGAACTGTGGCGGGGGACCATGCAGCGTGCCATCAGCACAATGCTAAGTAAGGTGGGCACGGATTCAGTCCTACTGGAGATCATTCTCGATGGTCTACAGTACCACTTCAAAAACAGGTTCCTGCATCCATGGCACTACCCCGACAGGTACCGGGACCTGCCTGGTTGATGCTCAGAACTTGATCGGTTGGGACAACCTCATGCGGGGACGATTGGCCAAGCAATGGGGCAAGCACAAGAATGCATACTTGCATAGGGTCAGTTCCGAGGAGACTTCCAAAACAGGACAGCTTTGGGTCACCAACCTGGCTTTGCTCCTCATCCAGCAGTGGTGGAACCTGTGGGAAGACCGCAATGCTGCCATGCCTGGCAGACAAGGAGGAACAATGGAAGAAGAAGCACGAGCAGCTTCAATGGAGGTGGAGCTCATCTATGAGAAGGCGGATCTGATTCCAGAGTCGCTGGTCGATTTCATCTTCAAGCATCCTCTTGATGAGCAAATGGCAAAGGGCCCCGGCGACATCAAAGCGTGGCTAGCCAATTTGCTGACCGTAGTCGACAATGCACTCAGAGAAGAGCACACACGCAACGTGTCGCAGAACAATTAAACAGGGTAACTATGTACCGTGTGGGTCATACCGTAGAAATAGAAGGCAATCTAGTTAGATAGTTGCAAAGCACCTTCCGGAGTTTTAAAACTTCTCCTGTGGGGGGCTTGCACTAGGCTCGTTCCTAACTAGGCACCTTCATGTGTTTGAGGTATAGGTATAAGAATTGACAGCTCAACCATTACTCACCCAGAGATAATCGTATCGAATCCTGACGCCTTTGCTGCACCGTACTTTCTTTCAAAGTCCAAGCTAACCTGTCAGGTACTGATCTGAAAGCCATTGCCTTCCAATGTCAAATCATACCAGCTCAAAAAGAAATTAATCACGTATATTAATAAATTAGACTGACATTTCTCTCACAATACTAAAATGAATTCTGCTATTGTGACGAATGAAAAGACTACAAACGTCACTTGCTGTGGATGCCTTCAATGAAATTGGTTGCTAGACAACACTTGGTGCTATGCTTGGACTTTCACTGGGTGTCTCACTAGGACTATTGCTGGGAGCCTTGCTCGGACTTTCACTGGGTTTCTTGCTGGGGCTTTCACTTGGTGCTATGCTTGGACTTTCACTGGGGACCATACTTGGACTTTTGCTGGGAGCCTGCTTGGACTTCCACTTGGTGCCTTACTGGGACTTGTACTTGTGCTTGCTTGGACTTTCACTGGGGGCTGCTGGGACTTTCACTGGGTGTCTTGCTGGGACTTTCACTGGGTTCTTGCTGGACTTCACTTGGTGCTATGCTTGGACTATCACTGGGGGCCTCACTTGGACTCTTGCTGGGAGCTTGCTTGAGCTTCCAATTGGTGCCTTGCTGGGACTTGTACTTGGTGCTATGCTTGGAGTTTGACTGGCTTCACTGGGGGCCTTGCTTGGACTTTCACTCGGGCCTTGCTGGACTTGTACTTGGTGCTATGCTTGGACTTTCACTGGGTGCTCCACTGGGCTATTGCTGGGAGCTTGCTTGGACTTTCACTGGGTTCCTTGCTGGGCTTTCACTTTGTGCTATGCTTGGACTTTCACTGGGGGCCTCCTTGGACTTTTGCTGGGAGCTTGCTTGGACTTTCACTTGGTGCCTTGCTGGGCTTGCTTGGTGCTATGCTTGGAGTTTTTGGGGGCCTCACTGGGCCTGCTCGGACTTTCCATCGGGGCCTTGCTGGGACTTGTACTTGGTGCTATGCTTGGACTTTCCTGGGTGCCTCACTTGGACTATTGCTGGGATCCTTGCTTGGACTTTCACTGGGTTCTTTGCTGGGGCTTTCACTTGTGCTATGCTTGGACTTTCACTGGGGGCCCACTTGGACTTTTGCTGGGAGCCTTGCTTGGACTTCTCACTTGGTGTCCTTGCTGGGGCTTTCACTTTGTGCTATGCTTGGACTTTCGACTGGGGGCCTCACTTGGACGGGACTTGCTTGGACTTTCACTTGGTCCTTGCTGGGGCTTTTACTTGGTGCTATGCTTGATTTACTGGGGGCCTCACTGGGGGCCTTGCTTGGACTTTCACTCGGGGCCTTGCTGGGACTTGTACTTGGTGCTATGCTTGGACTTTCACTGGGTGCCTCACTAGGGCTATTGCTGGGAGCCTTGCTTGGACTTTCACTGGGTTCCTTGCTGGGGCTTTCACTTTGTGCTATGCTTGGACTTTCACTGGGGGCCTCACTTGGACTTTTGCTGGAGCCTGCTTGGACTTTCACTTGGTGCTTGCTGGGCTTGTACTTGGTGCTATGCTTGGAGTTTACTGGGGGCTCACTGGGGGCCTTGCTCGGACTTTCACTCGGGGCTTGCTGGGACTTGTCTTGGTGCTATGCTTGGACTTTCACTGGGGCCTCACTTGACTTTGCTGGGACCTTGCTTGGACTTTCCTTGGTTCCTTGCTGGGGCTTTACTTGGGGCTATGCTTGGACTTTACTGGGGACCTCACTTGGACTTTTGCTGGAGCCTTGCTTGGACTCCCACTTGGTGCCTTGCTGGGCTTTTACTTGGTGCTATGCTTTGACTTTCACTGGGTTCCTTCTGGGACTATTGCTGGGATCCTTGCTGTGGACTTTCACTGGGTTCCTTGCTGGGACTTTCTTGGTGCTATGCTTGGACTTTCACTGGGACCTCACTTGGACTTTTGCTGGGAGTCTTGCTTGGACTTCACTTGGTGTCTTGCTGGGACTTTTCTTGGTGTTTGCTTGGAGTTTGACTGGGGCTCACTGGGGGCCTTGCTTGGACTTTCACTGGGCCTTGCTGGGACTTTACTTGGTGCTTATGCTTGGACTTTCACTGGGTGCCTCACTTGGACTTTTGCTGGAGCCTTGCTTGGACTTTCACTGGGTCCTTGCTGGGACTTTCACTTGGTGCTATGCTTGGACTTTGCTGGGGACCTCACTTGGACTTTTGCTGGGAGCCTTGCTTGGACTTCCACTTGGTGCCTTGCTGGGACTTGTACTTGGTGCTATGCTTGGAGTTTGACTGGGGGCTCACTGGGGCGCTTGTGGATTACTGGGCTGGGCTTGGCTTACTTGGGCTGTTGGGCTTTCACTGGGTGCCTCCTAGGACTATTGCTGGGACCTTGCTTGGACTTTACTGGGTTCCTTGCTGGGGCTTTCACTTGGTGCTATGCTTGGATTTGACTGGGGACCTCACTTGGACTTTTGCTGGGAGCCTTGCTTGGACTTCCACTTGGTGTCTTGCGGGGACTTGTACTTGGTGCTATGCTTGGATTTGCTGGGGCCTACTTGGGCTGCGGGACCTTCTTGGACTTTCACTCGGGGCCTTGCTGGGACTTGTACTTGGTGCTTTGCTTGGACTTTCACTGGGTGCTCACTTGGACTATTGCTGGATCCTTGCTTGGACTTTCACTTGGGCTTGCTTGGGATTCCTTGGGCTGACTTGGGACTGACTGGGCTTGGACTTTTGCTGGGAGCCTTGCTTGGACTTCCACTGGTGCCTTGCTGGGACTTTACTTGGTCTGCTGCTTGGAGTTTGACTGGGGGCTACTGGGGCCTTGCTTGGACTTTCTCGGGCTTGCTGGGACTTTACTTGGTGCTTGCTTGGACTTTCCTGGGTGCTCACTTGGTTTTGCTGGGACCTTGCTTGGATTTTCACTGGGTTCCTTGCTGGGCTTCACTTGGCTATGCTTGGACTTTGACTGGGACCTCACTTGGACTTTTGCTTGGAGCCTTGCTTGGACTTCCCCTTGGTGCCTTGCTGGGACTTGTACTTGGTGCTTGCTTGGAGTTTGACTGGGGGCCTCACTGGGGCCTTGCTGGACTTTCACTCGGGCCTTGCTGGGACTTGTACTTGGTCTATGCTTGGACTTTCACTGGGTGCCTACTGGGCTATTGCTGGGATCCTTGCTTGGACTTTCACTGGGTTCCTTGCTGGGGCTTTCACTTGGTGCTATGCTTGGACTTTGACTGGGGACCTCACTTGGACTTTTGCTGGGAGCCTGCTTGGACTTCCACTTGGGCCTTGCTGGGACTTTTACTTGGTGTATTTGCTTGGAGTTTGACTGGGGGCCTCACTGGGGCTTGCTTGGACTTTCACTGGGGCCTTGCTGGACTTGTACTTGGTGCTATGCTTGGACTTTCCTGGGTGCCTCATTGGACTTTGCTGGGATCCTTGCTTGGACTTTCACTGGGGTTCTTGGGCTTTCATTGGTGCTATGCTTGGACTTTGACTGGGGACTCACTTGGACTTTTGCTTGGAGCCTGGCTTGGACTTCCACTTGGTGCCTTGCTGGGACTTGTACTTGGTGACTGCTTGGAGTTTACTGGGGGCCTCACTGGGGCCTTGCTTGGACTTTCACTCGGGGCCTTGCTGGGACTTTACTTGGTGCTATGCTTGGACTTTCACTGGGTGCCTCACTAGGACTATTGCTGGGAGCCTTGCTTGGACTTTCACTGGGTTCCTTGCTGGGGCTTTCACTTGGTGCTATGCTTGGACTTTGACTGGGGACCTCACTTGGACTTTTGCTGGGAGCCTTGCTTGGACTTCCACTTGGTGCCTTGCTGGGACTTGTACTTGGTGCTATGCTTGGACTTTCACTGGGGACCTCACTTGGACTATTGCTGGGATCCTTGCTTGGACTTTCACTGGGTTCCTTGCTGGGGCTTTCACTTGGTGCTATGCTTGGACTTTCACTGGGGACCTCACTTGGCTACTTTGCTTGGAGCTGTTGCTTGGACTTCCACTTGGTGCTTGCTGGGACTTGTACTTGGTGCTATGCTTGGAGTTTGACTGGGGGCCCACTGGCCTTGCTTGGACTTTCACTCGGGGCCTTGCTGGGACTTGTACTTGGTGCTATGCTTGGACTTTCGCTGGGTGCCTCACTTGGACTATTGCTGGGATCCTTGCTTGGACTTTCACTGGGTTCCTTGCTGGGGCTTTCACTTGGTGCTTTGCTTGGACTTTGACTGGGACCTCACTTGGACTTTTGCTGGGAGCCTTGCTTGGACTTCACTTGGTGCTTGCTGGGACTTGTCTTGGTGCTATGCTTGGAGTTTGACTGGGGGCCTCACTGGGGGCCTTGCTTGGACTTTCACTCGGGGCCTTGCTGGGACTTGTACTTGGTGCTATGCTTGGACTTTCACTGGGTGCCTCACTTGGACTATTGCTGGGATCCTGCTTGGACTTTCACTGGGTTCCTTGCTGGGGCTTTCACTTGGGGCTATGCTTGGACTTTGACTGGGGACTCACTTGGACTTTTGCTGGGAGCCTGCTTGGACTTCCACTTGGTGCCTTGCTGGGACTTTACTTGGTCTATGCTTGGAGTTTGACTGGGGCCTCACTGGGGGCCTTGCTTGGACTTTCACTCGGGGCTTGCTGGGACTTGTACTTGGTGCTATGCTTGGACTTTCGCTGGGTGCCTCACTTGGACTATTGCTGGGATCCTGCTTGGACTTTCACTGGGTCCTTGCTGGGGTTTCACTTGGTGCTATGCTTGGACTTTGACTGGGGACCTCACTTGGACTTTTGCTGGGAGCCTTGCTTGGACTTCCACTTGGTGCCTTGCTGGGACTTGTACTTGGTGCTATGCTTGGAGTTTGACTGGGGGCCTCACTGGGGGCACATGCTTGGACTTTCACTTGGTGCCTTGCTGGGACTTGTACTTGGTGCTATGCTTGGACTTTCACTGGGTGCTCACTGGCTTTGCTGGGAGCCTTGCTTGGACTTTCACTGGGTTCCTTGCTGGGGCTTTCACTTGGGCATACTTGGCATGCTTGGATGCACTGGGCCTCACTGGATCTGGGATCCTGCTTGGAACTTGGTGCTTGCTGGGACTTGTACTTGTTGATCTATTAGGTGGGACGCTAGGGATCACACTTGGCATCCTGCTTGCACTCAATTTTGGATTTGAACTGGGACTTTCACTTGGTAAACTGCTAAGTTGAGTTTGGGGAAAGCTAGGGGTCTCGCTTTGTATTCTGCCTGGCCTCAAACTTGGAGTTGAACTGGGACGTTCATTGGGTGAGTTGCTATTCTGCGTAGGGGGGGATGTTGGGTTAACGCTTGGCTGTGTACTAGAGGAAAAAGTTGGTGCATTTGTAGGAGCTTTGGTGTGCCCTTTGCTAGGCACTGTTGCTGGAGCCATGGTTGGGGCTTGATTGTGTGGTTCAAGTGTTGGAGACCTTGTGGGAGTTCCTGTTTCAAGAGTGTCACTCACTCCAATTGCTACAGCTGCATTTCCTTGCATACCACTGTTGAACCCCCCCACGAATGCTGTGGAATCATCCGATGTGGAAAATACACTTCCGATGGATAGTTGCCTGGTTTGAACAAAGAATTCAATCACAGCTGCTGATGATTCCTGGAGCCTTCTTCTTGTGAAACGCCTGGATGGGACAACAAGATCAAGGTCTTCTGCACAAGAATTCTTTGAAAGGGAATTGTAGCCAGAGGAGAATGCTGTTGCAAGCTCCGGATCAAATTGATGTGACATCACCAGCAAAGTAAACATAATAGTACCTTTCATTAGGGATAGATATGTCGTTGCAAGTGATACTTGGAACCAATGACAGATATGCTGATGGTGTTCCAGTGGGCGTATCAGTGGGGCTAGCAGTGGGCAGACCAGAAGGAGCAGCTGACATAGTAGTGGGAATGACTATTGGTGCAAGTGATGGTCCCTCTGTTGACACTCCGGTAGGAGAACTTGTAGGACTAACACTGGGTCCTCCAGGTGAAACTGTTGGAAAGGGAGGTTGCTCTTCAGTTGGATTGAGTGTTGGTTGAAGCGATGGCTCTGTTGTTGGTTCAAATGTTGGAGACCTTGTGGGAGTTCCTGTTTCAAGAGTGGCACTCACTCCAATTGCTACAGCTGCATTTCCTTGCATACCACTGTTGAACCCCCCCACGAATGCTGTGGAATCATCCGATGTGGAAAATACACTTCCGAAGGATAGTTGCCTGGTTTGAACAAAGAATTCAATCACAGCTGCTGATGATTCCTGGAGCCTTCTTCTTGTGAAACGCCTGGATGGGACAACAAGATCAAGGTCTTCTGCACAAGAATTCTTTGAAAGGGAATTGTAGCCAGAGGAGAATGCTGTTGCAAGCTCCGGATCAGAAATTGATGTGACATCACCAGCAAAGTAAACATAATAGTACCTTTCATTAGGGATAGATATGTCGTTGCAAGTGATACTTGGAACCAATGACAGATATGCTGATGGTGTTCCAGTGGGCGCATCAGTGGGGCTAGCAGTGGGCAGACCAGAAGGAGTAGCTGACATAGTAGTGGGAATGACTATTGGTGCAAGTGATGGTCCCTCTGTTGACACTCCGGTAGGAGAACTTGTTGGACTAACACTGGGTCCTCCAGGTGAAACTGTTGGAAAGGGAGGTTGCTCTTCAGTTGGATTGAGTGTTGGTTGAAGCGTTGGCTCGGTTGTTGGTTCAAATGTTGGCTCGCCTGTTGGCTGTGTGGTTGGTTCTTCTGTTGGCTCGTATGTTGGCTCGTATGTTGGCTCGTATGTTGGCTGGAGGGTAGGCTGGGCTGCTGTTTCGAATGTTGACTGTTGTGTGAGCAATTTAGAGGGCCCCAGTGTTCGATTCCTTGTTGGCATTGAAGAGGGTGTCTTGGCGCCTTGTAATGATTGTGGTGGTGTGGGAAGTTTTGTTGGAACAAAAGTTGATTGTGTTGTTGGATACTGATTGGCGTCTACATGTTGAGCCGATTGTGCCTTATTCTTCTTAATATTGTTTGAAAAGGAATTGAGCCCAATCACCGAAGCAGGTGACAAACTGACAGTGGCAAGCGGACCTGTTTTTTGGGGGGGAAGGGGGAATGTTATGAAGCTTTCGTCTCTGTTTGAAAAAGCCAAAAGTTCTGTTGCAGTACTTGGTGTAAGAGTTCCCCTTGTACTCAGTGTCAGAATCCCATCTTTGCTAGGTGCCTGAGCCCAACCTTTGCTTGGATTTGATGCAACAGTAAGTGGCACTGCTGATGGAATGGCAATTATGGGCGGGTCAAACAGAGTGGGGGGGATGATTGGTGCCAATAAGGTTGGGTTCATTGCTGGGTTTGCCTGGATGGATGTGGGAAAAACAGCACTCTGTATTGATGGATATGAAACTGTTGGTCCATCAACCAGCAAAGGAGCTGTATTTGGTTGGACCGCTGTTGGCCGGAAAGATGTGCTTGGTAAAAGAATTGTATAACCTGATGGATTGGAGGCTGGGTTTCCTTGTGGCACACTAGCTGTGGCTGTAGGATGGATATCCTCCACTGGGTTTGAACCAGAGGGACTAGTAATCCCATCCAAAACTGCAGTAGGGTACTCCATGGGATTGCCTACAGTTGTGGGGATGCTTGGGTTTGAAGTAAAAGACTCCTGACTACCAGGAGATCCAACAGGTCCTGCTTGGCTTGTGAACTCCTGTGAAGAAGGTTGTATTCCTACAACAGAATCAAAAACTGCTTCAGCTGGGCTGGAAGCCACATCCAAAATTACAGTGGGGTTCTCCCGGGGGGTGCCTGCAGTGGGGACACCAAGCCCATTTGAGTTAGAAGTCAGAGACTCCTGACTGTCAGGTGATCCAACAGGCCCTGTCGGGCTTGTAAGTTCATGTGAAGAGGGTTGTGTTCCTACAGCAGAATCCATAACTGGTGCAACTGGACTTGCTGCTCCATCAGAACTTCCTGCAATTGGCATCTTGGTGGGTGCTTCTTCTTCTTCTTCTTCTAGATTCTCTGTGAGGGATGAGGGGCTGCTTCCAGTTGGTTCTTCCCCTGTACTTCCGGAAATGTTGGGTTCATCCACTTTCCCAGAATGAGAAGCTTCTTCAACCGAATCCACTTGGCTGTTGGCAACAGCTTCAAGAGCGGTGGTCAGAATGTCTTGGCAAGATGGGTCAGTTGGGGTCTCCAGGCATACAATCAGAGCATCTGGGTTTATGGGTGCTCTGGCTTCGTCGTTTTCAGCTGTGATGACCTGCATCAGCTCATCACAAACCTTTTCAGATCCCTTGGAAACCTCTTGGTCCACCTCATCCGAGAGACATTGTGAGAGAGATGACAGCTCATTAGATATGAAAGGAGTCAGAATCGTCCCTTGGTTCTCTTCAACTGTTTCAATGAATGGCTGAATTGTATCTTGGCCTATGGTGAGGACAATGATCTCAGTCTGGTCTCCAGCATTCTCTAAAGGGGAGACTGACTTTGTGGTGGCAAAGACAACCTGCATGGAATTTTGCCTTCCAGATTGGGAAGCTCCTGATGTTGCCAGCACTGGTTCAATATTGTAACCAAAGGAGGCTGCAAACAACGGAAAGAACTGGGATACTTCAATGGTTGTCTGTAACTGCAAGCGCCTGGACAGGCTGTGAGCCATACTGGTGTTTCTGCCACTCATAGCTGCTGAAACATTTGCTAGTTTGATGTTCGTGCTATTGCTGTTGTTGATGTTACCAGTTGTTCTAGTGTCACCAACACTTGCATCATCCCCTTCGGGCAACTGGAAAAGTGGCTCATAATCAGGACATCCATCACAAGCAACTGTGGCAATCCAAGATGTTGTGGTAACTGGCACAATCACCTGTGCCAGTGTCCCATTAGTTGCATTGTTGGATGTCCCTTCCAAGAAAACCACGCTATCCTCTGTACTCCAATTTTGAAGTTCCGCCTTGTGTAATACCCGCGAGAAAGGATCCAAGCACATTCCAGTGATGTTGTTGTAGAGGTCTCGAAATATCCTGAGGAACAGTGTAGAGGTAAGCACTGGATTCATCCAACATCAAAAAACAGGAAAACAACGGATGATGCTTACTCTTCTATCCTCTCTCTGTGCTGTGGTAGTGAATCCTCTGGCATGCCTTGAATTTTCAATTCCACAAAACCTTGCTTGATCTGGGATGTGAACGAACAGGATGGGGGTATAAAGTCAGTGTCTTTTACCACAGGAGCAGTAGCATTTGTACCGGGCGCTACCCTAGTGATCACACCACTGCTCACTGCAGCAGCTGCCACAGCCGCAACACCAACAGTCACCCCAATTTGAGATACAACACTGGCAGAGGCTATAGCACTGACAATTGTGGATGTGATACTGGCAGTCGCGGCAACTGTCATGGGATTGAAACAGGTGAGGAGTGGGATTGGTGCCATGACAGCCCACATACAAGCAAACACAACATACCTGCCGCGGAAGCTGCTGAGGCGGAGGCCCCAGCGGCACTGACTGCAGCCTGAGTTGCCATTTGGCCAACTACTGCAGTTGCCTGGGCTGTTCCTGTACCTGACGCAGTTCCCACACTTGCACTAGTTGAGGCACCAGCTCCTCCCGTGCCCGATGCCCCGCCGCCACTGGCCCCAGTTTGGCCCATCTGAGTTGTTTGGCCAAACTGAGCAGATGCCAGCTGATTACCGGTAGATGGGTCCATGATATCAACCATATCTAGGGCAGCGTCTACCTGTTCATCAGAGTCTCCACCCTTTAGTTTCTTCATGATGCATTTGAAGCACACAGCCAGCATGACCAAGAGATGCTGGAAGATTCCATTCTTGACGTTATCCATAGCCAAGTCAACCACACTTTGGCGAATGGCAGCTTCCCTTCCGGCATGGATGTCGACACTGGTAAGGTCAGCATCTTCATCGAAGCTGTCACTGCCAAACTCTTCCTCTGTTTTGAGGATGATAGGGTCATCCTCAAATCTCCTGTTGTAGGCATCATGAAACTCATAGTGGAAGTCTTTCAGTGGCAGGAGCTCTGGGCTGTCAGCCCGTGTGGAGTAATGGTTTTGCTGCTCCTTATTGATCGACCCACCATTTTGATTTTCAACATCATCCTCAGTGTCACTTTGGTGGTCTTTTAGTGCCGGTGACATGGTGATTTGATGGAAGGAATCGAGCTCCTTCCAGCTGTTGACGTCCACTAATCCAACATGGTCCCCCGAGTCCTGTGGATCCTTATTAGGCTTGTGGTTGTTGGCTTGCATATTGCTTGGAATACTGGTCTATCTGATAGTCTTGGTGTGTAAAGTGGTGTGTCTTCTTCGTCGTTGTTTTTGTTTTGTTTTTGTTTGTGTGTAGTTTCTCTACGTGCAGAAGCAGGTTCGTCCAAACCGAAATTGACCGCAGCCTTGCACAGTATGTTCGGTACGTGTGGCGACAAACTGGCGAGGGTATGGAGGAGGCAAAAGTTCCTTGCCTTGGTTCGAAACGTGAACTTGAGGGCCATTGATGACTGACGACCCTTCGGCGTCATCTGTATGTTAAATCTCTGTCTTACCGATTCTCTTTGATGGGCTATGATTGCCACGAGACTGTCGCGAGACGGCACTCTTTCCGGAAATGGGTTGTTTAAGCTGTTGTTTTCTAATCCAGCCTGAGTGGAGAATCAAATTCCTCTGTAACCTGGCGCTTGCTGGCTTGGGTGTGATCTTGACCCCCCATTAATTAAAACTTTCTTCGAACTGGCACAAAGAAGGTTCAGAGACTGGCAAGAACCGTTTGTCATCGACTGAGTCAGCATGCCACTTCGTCAATGTCCCATCGGGTCATGTCATGCAGTACCGGTTACCGGTACTGTACCAACTGCAGCCTGTACATACATGTAGTTGGAGGAGTCATTTTCATAATCAAACCGTTCAAAGAACACTTTGAAAAGAGTACTTGTAAATCCTGTCCATTCTTCAACCATCAGGGAAACCACTCTACATGTACTACATGTTGTGGTACAACGGCTGCAACGTCAGTTTCTTCATTCAGAATTAGGCAGCCAACGGTATTAGTGTCACTACACTTTCGTAGCAAGTCACTAGCTAGGTGTAAGTAGGAGCCGTACCGGCACCGGTAGGTGGGTGCCAGCTGCTGGTCATATGGTACGATTTTGGTGGTCTACGGTGCCAGTTGGTACAGTGGTTCGTGGTGGCCGCCTATCTCGAGCAGCTTTTTTGTACAACTTGTAGCTAGCTAGTAGGTACCAGGTGCTCTGGAGTAGTGGGCAAAGGAGGATCTGCCACGCAAGCGTCTCACTTGGCTCAGGCAAGCAGCAAGACAACACGACGAGCTTGCATTTGTCGACCTTTTGGTTTGGGTTTCCTTTTTCGATAGTGTAGCTAGCTAGGGAGAGTGTTCTTCTCTTATTGGTAATTAATCGGTACCACTGATGGAGCGAATCCATGGCAATCGAACCCTCGAACTTCTACTTTCAGCCATCCTCATTGAAACCATGAGCGTGAACCCCAGCACACCCTGCTTAACAAATCAGCAGCCTAAAAATGATCCTCATCGAGCCATGGAATGGCAACAGTCCTCAACCCAAGGCGGAGGAGGATGCTCGACGACGCTCGACGACGCGCACGCGCAGAGGCGGGTGAATTAAGGAGACCGAGCGAACCAGTCAGGAAGCGACTTCGTTTTGCGTCAGGCCATTTTACCCACAACACGGTTCGATTCAATCTTCTATTCATTGAATACGGGTGTCATTGCCAACAATGGCCCCAATGGACGGGTCATCGCTGAGGGATGGAAAGACAACACTATTCCTCTTCTAGTGTCATGCGGTGTCCAGACAGACCCGCCCGCCGGAAGATAGGACTACTAATAAGAGGTTAGACCATGGCCTATCCTTTGCCATCCTTCTCGAGCGACAATCTCTAGCTATCAGGCGCGTCGCCTCAATTGACAATAGCGACTACAAGCCCCAACTGTAATTGAAAATTTAAAAATTATAGATTACAATAGCTACTACACCTGCTTGATTTGTTGACCAACGTTGATGCATGGTTTTTTATTGGAAATCACATGAACAGTAATCAAGGGTAGCAAAATAATCCCTTGGGACTCACTGTGAGGTCCGGATCTGTGGTTGTAGGGTATGAAGTTCCCACAAACATGTCTGCTGTGGGTGCGGTGGTACTGGAGATTTTTTGAGGCCCCAGAAGTCAGGTCTCGTGCCAACATGCTGGCATCATTGAACATGAAACTAAAGTCAGTGACAGAACTGACATCCCTACTTGATCCATCAACATTGAAACTGAGGCACTATCGAACATGGCATAAAACCCATCCCCGTTGACCTGACTTGTGTCCCAACTAAACACATCACCATTGAACAGAGCAGTACTCCCAAACATGTAAGACATGCTTGTGACCTTGCTATTGAAACTGGTTGCACCATTGAACATGGCATAAAATCCATCCCCATTGACCTGACTTGTGTCCCAACTAGACACATCACATTGAACAGAGTAGCACTCTCAAACATGTCATACATGCTTGTGACCTTGCTTGTGTCCCAACTAGACACATAGATAGGAGAAATTCTATTTGCTGTTTTCTCTGCTGCACTGCCGCTGGCCTCCAGTATCATCTCAGGTTCCAGAACGCCAGAGAGAGCCCACTACATGTATGTAATCTGGGGTTGAATCGGGTTGACTATGGATTAGAGAGAGCTAAGATGAGGATGGAGACAGAGGTCAAGGGGAGGGCACGACGCTATCTGGTTTTGTGTTGTATCACGCGCAACTCTCTTCGAGGTGAAGTGCTAACTCCAACCCTATCGACGGTCTGAGCAGTGGAGACATCAATAATTGTTGTCGTCGAGTCGAGTCAAGTCATTGAAATGCAAGCTTTTCCTCCTGGCTCCAGGACAAGGTGTCTGATTGGACTCGCCGCCTGGGCTTGCTCTCTGACGCCTGCCCAAATTTTCCTCAGTCTGCATACTGTGGTCTTTCCAAGTCACTGCAACATGAGTGGACATTTGTGCAACGAGTCAATGAATGTGAAGCTACTGCCTTCACTCCTCTTGAGTCTGCCTTGGCCGAGACGTTTCTCCCTCGTCTCTTCCATCCTCCTTCTCCCGATGATTCCCTCCCGGCTTTGACTGTTTCACGTCGTCTCACGGCTCTCCCTGTCAAAGCCGGTGGCCTGGGCATTCCCAATCCCACTACCACAGCTGCCACTTCACACGAAGCCAGTGTTGCCATGGCGATCCAAATCTCCACGGCTCTCACTGGCTCTTCTACAAGCCCCTTTAGTCTACTGACCACGATGCTCATGTGACCGCCACGCGTGCTCACACTCAAGAATCTCGTGTGAAAGAGGCTCAACAGACTCTTGCCACCATCAAGGCTGCTGCCCCTGCAGTCCGTCGTGAGGGTCTCCAACGGGCTTGTTCAACTGGGGCGTGGCTCTCCGTCACCCCCATGCCAGAGAATGACACCGTCCTCTCTCCCCTGAGTTTCGGGATTCTCTCCATCTCGATATGGACTGACTCCTTCGGATCTCCAACCCCACTGTGATGGCTGCAAAAGTTAGTTTGGTCTCCACCATGCTTTTCCTGCTCCCAGGTGGACTTCTTCTTCAGCCCACAATCAAATTGTGCGCGAGCTGGCTGATTTATCTTCCATGGCTTTCATGCCCTCTGCTGTCCGCGACGAACCCCGTATCACTCTTGGTCGCCAGCTATGGCTCCGTTGACTCTGCTGATCTTCCCATGCTCCTACTCCCTCTGATCCCTTGTCCAAGATCGGGGTGACCCCTAGTTCGCGGGTTTCTGGCATCGAGGTACCGATTGTATTTTCGATGTCTCCCTCGTGATGTTGAGTCTCCTGGTCGTCGTGACCGTGGTGTCACTGCTGAGAAGGCCCTTTTCAGCGGGAGAGGCAGAAGAAGACGAAGTACCAGGCTCAGTGCCTGCACAACGCCGCCACTTCACCCCTTTGTTGTTCTGCTGATGGCCTCTTGCTCCGAAGCTACTGCTGTTCTCCAACGGCTCTCCCAGCTTTTGGCTCAAAAGTGGTCAAGCCCTACTCTGTGGTTCGCTCTTTCATCCGGCAGGTTGAGCATAGCTCTTGCCCGTGCCACGACTGAATAACACCAAGCGCACTCCGAAACACCCCGACATCTTCCAAGAGAAGATGGGCACACTAATGCACGACCTAGGATACGTCCGTTGCATACATTGATGATCTATTCATCCTAACTAACGGCGAACTAGCAGATCAAGTTGAAAAGATGGATGAAGTTCTCGGAAAGGCTTCGAGTAGCAGGACTTAAGATCAATGTTACCAAGTCCTTCTTCGCAGGAGGAGAACTTGAATACTTAGGTTACTGGATTACTCGAGAAGGGATCAACCTATAACCAAGAAAAAAGACTCGATCCAGAATATCGCTCCTCCTACCAACAGAAAGAACTCCGTAGATTCATTGGACTAGTGATACTACTATCGAGACTATGTGGATTAGACATTTCACATGTATGCCCCACTCGCTCGTTGAACTTCCAAAACAACGAAGTGGAAGTGGGAAGCCGAACACGACAAGGCCTTTAGCCAGATGAAGAAGATCATCAGCAAAGAAAACTTGCTCGCTTAACCCTTGACTTCAACGAACATTCGTTATCCACACGGATGCGGGTGATACTCAACTAGGTGTAGTAATTTCCCAGAATGGGAAACCTATCGCGTTCTACGGCAGGAAGCTCAACCCTGCTCAGACACGTTCAACCGTTACCGAGAAGGAAATTCTCAGTATCGTAGAAACTCTAAAAAAGTTCCGCAACATTCTTCTGGGACAGAAGATCGTTGTACATACGACCACAAGAATCTTACATTGAAGAACTTCAATACTGGATCGCGTAATGCTATGGCGCCTTATTCTGGAGAATACGGCCCTGAACTACGGTACATCTAGGGCGAACAGAACATCGCAGCTGATGCGTTGTCGAGATTTAACATCTCCAACAACGAAGGTTCTTCAGAACAAATGGACCCAGGCGGAATCGCTGAAGTCATGTGTGCAGACGATAGTAGATTGTGAGAGAGGCATTCCCGTGTCCCGCTCTAAGGATTTGCCGAGCGTGTTGGTGGTCTCGCACTGTGTGCTCCCTCTCTCGCAGTCTTCCTCTCCCCGACTGAAGGTCTTGCTCCTTTTGGAATCCTCCTGACTCCTGTCCCTGCCTTCACAACCGCTGATCTATAGCCTTTCCATG